CATGTTGTACAGGGTGTCTCAAAAGTTCGTTGACAGGTACCAGCCATGCTTTTTGTCAATAATTCTGAATCAACAAGAAACTAACAGTCGAAATTTTGCATGGGCATTGGTGACAACCTTCCTCAAGCAGTCTCATTGTTTTCAAGTGCATTCGACCCTTCATGAGCTCACAAAAAGGGTTCACCTCTGACCATGGGTCATGCACGAAAATGTAGGTTGCAAAGTCGGGTATGTTGTGAAACTCTCTGTTTCAGGAGTAATGGGAATGGTTAAGTCGGAAATGGCACATGGCTAAGTGTCGGCGAGGATGAGTGCAACATGATGATCATCTCATAAAAACGGTGGCTAAAATTTTTGAAGTACGAAACCATGCGAGACTAACGGCGTTTTGAACGACCCTCGCACGACAGCAGACTCGTGTTCCGGAAAGCAGCTGAACATGCGGTCATAACTATTGAAAACTGGCAAGAAGCTCACAGACAGAGGTTACCCATTTTCAAAAAGTGCAGGTCATCGTAAAATAAAGACAAATTATTATTTAAAATTGTTTATTATATCTATAACGCTAATTTTTGGGACAATAACACAAAAATCGTCAATGCCAAGGACACCTGACCCTCCAAAAGTGTCAGTTATTGTAAAATTTTATCTAACGAAGTTTCAAGAGGCAGATCTGCAGCGAATCATTTTCTTTAACCCGCGCCCGGCTGGGGGTCCTGGATTTCCACGCCCTGCTGGGGGGTGTTTGAACACCCCCCCTTCTAACTCGGCTCCTGGGCCACGTAGCGATACGCGGAAGGCGGCGTTCGAAAGAGCGTCAAAAATAATGAGGAAATCACTTCGGTCAATTTTTTTGGTCAGGTCAAAGGTCAGGTCACCAGAGGTCATTAAGGGCAAAATTTCGCCGATTTCCAGGTCGAATGTCGACAATTTCCAAGAAGCCAACGCATAACTCGGGAACCAATAGAACTACAGCGCCGCGGAAAAGCGCATTCGATAGCCCTATTAACGCCCTTTCTGAGTAATTTTCTCAGATTTGACCTAACGTCAACGGTTTTGCCTGCAGGGGGCAAAAACTGCAAAAATAGCCGATTTTTTAAACAGGGGTCACGAACACCATTTTCATGTTCAGTGTGTCTAAACCACTTGGAATTCAGTGTTTGGGAGTGTTTATAATGTCTTTCGTCCAAAAGAGGCGCATTTCAATTTTCTCCCATTGACTTATAATGGGGAGGTCGCAAAATTGACCTGACCTTAGGTCATCGATATCAAAATTCTGAGATATACATTTTGTATATGCTATTGCTCTTAGCAATCGCTGAAAGTTTCAAAGCGATCGGTCATTTGGTGTAGCTATGACAGACATTGAAACTTTTTATGAGGTTAGGTCACTTCAAGTGACCTGGTGACCTGACCTTGAATGACCTTGGTCTGAAATTTTTACAACATGTGTAGAATTGATGTATGATAAATTGTACCAAAAACGGCGGCGCGGACGCCGCCGTTTTTGGGATATTCGCGAAAAACCACAAGGGGGGGGGGGTGTTCAAACACCCCCCCAGCAGGGCGCGGGTTAAAACACAAAATCCCGATAAAACCACACGATGGACAGGTTTGGGCCGTTTACAAAGGAACATCTCCCGAGGAAAACACTCCGCAACCGAGTGAAGGTCTTGGCATGGGGAATGACGAGCGCTTGGAATTTGCAAAATGTGCACAATGTGTCTGAGAAACAGACGTCCCACACATTCTGCTACCATATGATGCGAAAAATTTACTCCTGGCACTTCCCGTTTGTTCAGGACTGGGGTTGTTTTGAAAAGGAAAATGGCGCTTGGGATGTCGGCGCCAGTCATTCATGAAGGAGTTAGCGCCAGAGAATGCCTACAAAATACTCATGAATGGTGTCGATGCAAGCTGTCGGCTTCAGGGAAAATCAGATGTTGCCGGGGAGCTAGTCAAAACTAAATCCGACGCAGAAACTGCAGGGGATTCCCCTGCAAGAGCTTGAAAGCTGGTAACCTTTTATCAGCCTCCGGCAGCTGACGGAGCAACAAAAATCGGTATGGGCTAATATTTTTGGAGATACAGCAAAGGGGTTGGTTTCCAACCTTCTTAATCAGTCGTCAAAGCATGCGTATTTGTCTAGTGTACACACAGACACCAAAACCTTATACTTTTGGCCGGTTCTTATATGCTTTATTGGCATGGGAAATGTGTAAACGAACTTTTGAGACACCCTGTATTATCCTTACAAGAAAACACAAAATGCAGACAAAACTAATACAAAGTGGCGCAAAATAATAAAAGAACCATGGATTGACTTTGAAAATCCTCTCCCCTTATGAAAGGATGTAAGATGATGACTTAATTTTTATTCAAATGCCCTTTTGGTTCAACTATTAACGCGCGCCCCAGTGGCGGTCTCAGCCAACTTCGCCCTATGTGGGGGGGGGGGGGGGGCATATGTTACCACCCACCTCTAACTCAAAAACTAAGAGGGCTAGAAAGACGCGGTAAAAAAGCAGTCGATGGCTCTTAATGCGTACGTTTGAAAGTGTTTTGTCATTTTTCATCTAAGAGCAATATTGGGGTCACTGGAGGTCATCAAAGGTCATAATTTGCCAAATGCATTATATTTTTCAGAAAACATGCATTTATTTCACGAACTATGATAGCTAGAAAAACGCATGGAAAAGCAATCGATAGCTCTTTAGCTCTTCTTTTGATAAGGTAATAATCAAAATTGACCTCAGGTCAACGGTTTAGCCTCCAGAGGGCAAAAACTCCAAAAATAGTTGTTTTTACGAAAAGCGTTTTTCGACAATAACTTTTGACTAAAAAAAGCCACGATATTTCTATTGCCAGAATCGTGTTCCTCTCGCCGAGACGCGTCGAATGAACTATGATTTGACCTTGAAAAGTCAACTTTAAAATTTGACCTCAGGTCAAGGTCATGTTCTGACCGGAAAAAGTAACGTTGCATATCATTCGATGCGTCTCAACAAGACAAACACAATTAGGCCATCCCCAGCGTTCTATCTCTTTCCAATCGAGAGTTATTGGCAAAAATCTGTTTGTAGCCTCAAATGACCTCCGATGACCTTTCTAGAGGCTATCAGCAAAAAGACACCATGGTCGTCACGAGTGGTCCAAGCATTGTGATTCTGAAATAATTGGACTGCTCCTATGCGTACACACGGATCTAGAGGCATTTTCATTTTTCTCCATTGACTTATAATGGTAAGGTCACGCCACTGGCCTGACCTTAGGTCACGGATATAAAAAATCCGAAATATATAAATTATAGGTGCCCATACCATCATGCAATCCACCAAGTTTCAAACCTTTCTGACAAACACTGCAGGCTGGAGAGGATTGCAAACTTTTTTAGGCTTGTTCAGTTAACTTGACCTGGTGACCTGACCTGACATGACCTGGGGTCAAAAATTTCACACCTTGTCCAAAATTGATGTACAAAAAGGTACCCCAAAAATCGCGATAGGGTGTTAACATATGCCCCCCCCCCACTGGGGCAAAGGTTAACCTTCCAGGCGGTGGGGGGGGGGGCATTTTTTGCCCCCCCCCTTTAGTTTTTTCAATATATCTCGAGAACCGCTGCGCCGATCGTCACCAAACTTTCAGTACCCTCCCGGGAACAGCTAGCGCACATGGTGACCAAAAATTTTGCAAAGGCTATGATAGGTTGGCCGCTAATGACGTCAGAGTGACGTCATTTTTGCCATTTTCGACCCAAAAAAAGGTTTCGCGGGAAGAGCTGTCAGGCCTACAGCTTTAGAGATACAGAAAAATGTTTCATACATAAAAGGTGTGGAATCAAAAGGACTACAAAGCTGCTATTTTGGTTTTTCGAATTTTTCGGCTTTTGACCCCCAAAAATAAAAAAATAGATTTTTTTTAATATAATAGCCAAAAAATCCAAAAAGTTTTTTGAATTTCGAAAAAAACGGAATATATGTGATAGTCCCTACCGCCTTCTATCTACATACTAAATTTGAGATCGATACCTCTTTTTTTGGCCAAGTTAGAGCGAAAAAACTGTTCAAAATTTATGACGTCAAATTTTCAAACTCAATTTTTAGCAATTCTAGACCTCGTAGCGCAAAACAAAGACCACCATTAGACTCCCCGTGACGAGCTGCATCGAATCGATACCCATTTTATGCAAAAATATCAACTTTGAAATTTGACCTTTTTTGACCTGACCTTGACCTGACCTCCACCAGAAAGTGACCTAAACCGTACCTGATGGTCTTATAACCAGCACCATTGAGTTGGAAATGAAAAACTGGCCATAAAACATGCATCGCATAACCTTAGTAAAGTTGGGCTCATGTGGTGACCCTTGGTGACCTTTGGTGACCTGACCTGTGACCTGACCTGGTATGACCAGTGACCTCTAATAGCAACATATGTACTAGACAACTGACGCCTTATCGCTGATTTTCGACAAAATGCGTTTTACTCGGTGTTATAGCGCTTTCCCTAGAAGCCCCGTGAACGGTGAACATTTTATCTTTGACCTGACCTGTGACGTCATCGGTGACCCCGAGGTCAATGAAATTTGGTTTCCTTCGACAAATTTGACAGGGCTATCGAACGCCGTTTGAATTTTCCGGATCCGTCCAGTAGTTTCGGAGATACGGGGGGGGGGCAAAAAATGCCCCCCCCCCCACCGCGCGGAAGGTGGCTGGTAGGCCCACCGCCTGCCGGGTTAAAAGGAAATTAATTTTCTTGTAGTGAATTACACTCACAATGTTGATTTCATAAGAATTCAATATTGTGTTGGATCATTTACTTCAATAAAATTATTCACGAGGCAGCATGTTACAGTCCAAAAACTTTTTTGCAGCAACTGAATTTGAAATCTTTCAGTCGTGGCCACAGCCGTAGCCGTGCTCTTGGATATATTTAAAGCCGCCCCGCCCCCTAGCCGTTTGGATGTAGCCGGCCTTTGCAGACCTCTACTGTGGACCCACCTGCAACTGAGCCGTACGGCCGGCCACGCTGTCTGCCAACACGTTCTTGATAAAGACGCCCGATAGGATGGTACTGCCGGGCGTGACGGCACACAGGTCCACCTTGCCGCCCACAATGGAGATACCCAGCGCCTGGGAGGCCGAGTGGCGTCGCAGCAGCACACGCCGCTCGGCACCCCAGTGTTGCGCCGGCGCTGCCGGTGGCGGCGCCCGCCGCGCGCCCTGCCGGCAGTGCAACACACATTATTACTTCACTGTCTTCACCCGTCCAACTCCGTGGTTTGCCGCCCGGTCCCCCTCCACTGTGCCATGTAAACTAACAAAAAAAAATGGATGAGCAAAAAAAAAAATAAAAAAAAACAAAAACAAAAAAAAAATAAAAAAATAAAAAAGGCTCACTTATCCAAAAACTCTTGGATATATTTAAAGCCGCCCCACCCCGTATTAAAAAAGGCAAAAAAAGTTGTTAAAAAAGGCCAAAAACAAAGTTGTGTTGCTCGTGAGGCTGCCGTCAAAGAGTGCAATCCGCCACCGACCGGACCGAACACAAGTGGTTAAAGAAGAAATGAAAGAAAAGAGAGAAAACGAAATACTCCAGAGCCCATCAAAGGACATATTCCCGACGCCACGTCCGCCAATACACGCCGAGACAAGAGACACCATTATATCACAACTCGGCCGATGTCGCCTCTGGCGGCAGGCCAGCCACATAATACAAGGACAAGGACACCCGTGCTCACAGTCGTGTTTCGCTCTCCGACCGACGTGCTACCTCTGCTGCCGCTGCCTTCGATCGCCACTCCACACATTCGTAAGTCACACTTTGCTGCACCTCACCACTAACAACTTTACACAAGACAACACTCACATATGCCCACACAACACCACCTACCAACACCACCTCCACAACACCCACGCACCCCACACACCCACCTCGCCTCCCTCCCTCCACCATGTCCCGTAACCCTACCCCTATCTACACCTCCTATCCCTCGTCCTCTACTCCTGCCCCATCCTTTATCCGCATCCGCCGTATGGACGGTGTAGTGTCCACCGCCGTCTCCGGATTCCGATGTATTCTCACAAACTCGCGGTGCAGAACACTAAGGCACTGCCGTGCTGTGCGGCCGGGCGGAGCCTCTCGACTGCTGGCTCTGACTGGAGCCGAGCAGGGTGCGGCCGCCTCACACTCGTATTACCGGGGGCCCGATGCCGAGCCTCGGACACCCGATGCACTAGGTACTCGATACACTACACATTCCCCCCTCTCGCAAAAAAAGGAACAGCATCACTGCGACACGTAGTAGTCCGGTCGTCTACAGACACGGTCGCTTCGCCTGGGACGCTGCACGCTCACATCGGCGGCGTCCGGCGACGGCTCGCAAGCTGTCTCGGTCGACGGGCGAGAAGCAGCGGCGAGCGAGGTCAGCGGGCCCAGATGGGCGGCGTTCCAGATCCGGCCGTCAGCCAGACGGTACGTTGCGGGACCGACGCGCCCAGTGACTCGCACCGGAGACGTGAACCGACAGGACGTCTTCGAGCGGTGTCCCTGCCGTCTCACGCAGACGTAGTCGCCCTCAGTGATGCGCGGCGTCGTCACGCCACGGCGGCGGTCGTAGGACCTCTTGTTGGACTGCTGTCGGCGTCGAACTCGAGACGCCACACTGTCGGCTCCTGGTGTTGACGGCTGAATGACAGGCAGGTTCAGCCTCATCTGTCGTCCATGCAGGAGCTCGGACGGTGACTTCCCAGTTGTCGTGTGTGGGGTGGCTCGATACACCGCCAGGCTCTTGCGTACCTCGTCAATGAACGCTGCTGGTGGACAGTCTGTGATCCACGACTTGAACGTTTTGTTGAAGCGTTCTACGGCGGAGTTGCCTCTAGGCCAGTAGACGGACGATTTGGTGTGCTTCACCCCTCGGGCGGCCAGATACGCAGTGAACTCCCTGCTCGTGAACTGGGGCCCATTGTCCGTCACGATCTCGTCGGGATAGCCCTCTTTGGCCCACACAGTTGACAAGAACTTGATGACGTCTTCAGTCTCAGTCGATGACGTCAGGCAGACTTCCGCCCATTTGCTTCTGTAGTCAATCAGAGTGATGGCGTAACGGGCAGTCGCTGGTGCTCCGTTGATTGGACCAACGATATCCATTCCCAGTTTCGACCAGGCGCGGTCCGGCAGGTCGACTGGCTGCATGGGCGCAGGGCGTGCGCGCTGGGAGAGGACTGCGTCGCTGTGCTGGCAGCGCTCGCAACTTCGGCACAGCTCCTCCACCTCACGGTTGATGCCGGGCCACCACGCCAGATTCCGCAGCGCCTGTTTCATGCGGACGATTCCGTCGTGCGCGCTGTGCGCCAGCTCCAGGTATCTGCGGCGGAGCTGAACGGGCACAACAACTTGTTGGGCTCCTCTCAGGATGACGTCGTCGTTGCGCACCCACAACTCGTGTCTCATCTTGAAGTACGGCTGGACTTCAACCGGGCAGGCCTTGGCGCTGCTCGGCCAGCCGCGCTTGATCTGATGACGCAGCTGCTGCAGCTCAGGATCAGCAGCTGACGCGGTGCGGACGTCTTGCTCGGTCAGCACGCTCTCTTCATCTGTCAGAAGAGCGATCACCTCTTCTTCAGCGGAGCTGTCTTCATGCAGGTCCGCTTCTTCGGCAGGAACTGGCATCCTGGAGAGGGCGTCTGCTGCAGGAGTTAGGTTCCGGCCAGGCACGTACTGGACTGTGTACGCATACGGCAGCAGGCGTGCCTGCCAGCGCGCGATCCTCGCGCCCGCTCTCCCCGAGAAGCTGGGCGAGAGCAGTGTCTGCAGCGCCGAATGATCTGTGCGGAGAGTGAACGGACGTCCCCACAGATACAGTTTCCAGTGTTCCACGGCGAGAACAGCGCTCAGTGCTTCCAGCTCAGACACTGAGTAGCGCTGCTCGGTAGGGGTGAACGCCCGAGACCAGAACGCTACGGCGTTTTCTTCTCCATCGGCGCTCAGCTGCGTGAGTACAGCTCCAGCGCCCTTGCCGCTGCCGTCGGACGTGACGAATGTAGGCAGGCTCTGGTCGAACGGCTTCAGTGTCGGGCTTGCAGCTATCTTCAGCTTGACCTCGTTGAAAGCTCGGTTCGCTGTGTCGTCCCAGACGAACTTGGTGCCCTTCTTCAGCAGCCGGTACAGTGGATGGACGGTCTCGGCGTACCCAGGGACGAACCTGAGAAACCATCCACACATCCCCAGGAACGACTTCAGCTCCTTGGCGTTCTCCGGCGGTGGTGCGTCAGTCACGGCCTTGATCTGTGACTGCAGTGGTGTGACTCCCGACGCAGACAGCGTGAAGCCACAGAAGTCGACAGCTGCTTTGCTGAACACAGACTTCTCTCTGTTGACTGTCAAGTTGGCCTCCTTCAGTCGGGCCATGACGCGCCGAAGACGGTCGTCGTGTTCTTCCTGTGACACTCCCACGACCGCGACGTCGTCCATGTAGTGAACACATCCCGGGATGCCGTCCAGCAGGTTGTCCAGCAATCTCTGGAACGCAGATCCTGCCGAGACCAGACCAAACGGAACCCTCGTGAACCGTCGTAGGCCTCGGTGAGTCAGGAACGTGGTGAGCTGACGGGAAGCAGGCTCCAGCTCCAGCTGATGGTATGCGCTCTGCAGGTCGATAACTGTGAAGATGTTGCCCTTCAGCTGGTCTTGGAGCTCCTCTGCCGTCGGCAGGGGATGAACTTCGGCGATGACCTGTCGATTCAGGTCCCTGAGATCCACGCAGATGCGCAGCTTCCCGTTCCTTTTCCTGCTGACGACCATCGGGTGAACCCAGTCGCTGACTTCGACCGGTTCGATGACTCCTTCCTCCTGGAGTCGGTCCAGCTCGCGGCTGACCTCTTCACGAACAGCATACGGGAGTCGGCGGAGCTTGTGACGCACCGGTACAGCATCAGGACGGAGAACAATCCTGTGCTGGTAGCCACGGACTGTCGTCAGTGAGCATATCTCGCCAGGGTCGGGCTGAGACGGTGGCGGTTCCGGGACTTCTGCGCTCCCAGTGACCGCCAGCTGATCGATTGCCCCACTCGCGGGGTGCAGGTTTACGTCCAACTGCTTCAGCAGGTCCAGTCCCATGACGGCTTCTTCACCGTCGGAATCTATGGTGAAGAACTCTGTGTTGGCTCGCCGTCCACGGTAGGTCACCAGCGCTGGCAGCGTGCCAAGCACTTGAAGCTGGTGTCGACCAAAACCGAACAGACGAGCAGACGTTCTATTGAGACGATTGCCTTTGAAGAGACGTCTGGCGATGCCGAGTCCTAAAGCGGACACCGTGGCACCCGTGTCAACTTGCAGATTCACGGTCTGCGTGATACCTGGTACCTCCATCTGTACTTCGCACATCATCTTATCAGTATTTGGTACGGCGCAGCAGAGAACAGTCAGCTCGTGACACCTTCTGTCGTCGTTCCGTTCACCAGACCAGCAGACCACGGCAAAGTGACCCGTCCGCCCACACTGCCTGCACCTGGCCCCGGTAGCGGGACACCGACCGCGCTCATTGTGCTGGCGCCGGCCGCAGCTGGGGCACGTGTCCGGTTGCAGCTGGGCAGGTCCGGAACGACGGTCGGCTTGCAACTGGGCAGGGGCGGGGCGGCGGTCGTCTTGCCGCCGGGCGGGTCGCCAGGGCCGGCGCCCGCGGCGCTGACGAGCGTCAGATATCGGATGCAGTGACTGCGCTCCGTCGGCGGCGGGCCGCGCCGGCCCGGCCATGGCGGTCGCCTCGCGTCGGGATCGCTCGAATGCCTCGGCGATCTCCAGAACGCGGTCCAGGGTCAGGCCCTTATCCTGCAGAAAACGCTCGCGGAGAATCGGATGCACTGTTGCTTCCACGACTTGGTCACGTATCATTGCGTCTGTCATTTGTCCAAACGAGCAGTTTACTGCCAGGCGGCGCAGCGCCGCCACGTAGTCGGCCGTCGGCTCGTGCGACTCTTGCCGTCGCTGCCGGAAGAAGAACCGCTCCGCGATCACGTTGACCTGAGGTTCATAAAACTCGGCGAGCTGCCGCTCAGCCGCATGGAACTCGTCTTCGTCTTCTCTCCTCGGCTGGACCGGTAGGGTACGGTACACCCGTTGCGCCTCGGCGCCGACACAGTGCAGAAGGAGAGCCGTCTTCCTCTCCGTGCTGTAGGCCTCACCTCCCAGGGCAGTCAGGTAGTTGTGGAAACTGAAAATCCAGTCACTCCAGGGCAGTGCCGGTTTTCCTGGTCTCGCCAGGAACGGAGTTGGCGGCGACACCCCCTCGACGTTCATCGTCGGTAGTATTCAGCATCTCATCCTCGTCGCCAGATGTAGTGTCCACCGCCGTCTCCGGATTCCGATGTATTCTCACAAACTCGCGGTGCAGAACACTAAGGCACTGCCGTGCTGTGCGGCCGGGCGGAGCCTCTCGACTGCTGGCTCTGACTGGAGCCGAGCAGGGTGCGGCCGCCTCACACTCGTATTACCGGGGGCCCGATGCCGAGCCTCGGACACCCGATGCACTAGGTACTCGATACACTACAGACGGCTCTCCTATGTCCGACCTCTCCCCCTGGGCGGTGGGGGACGCTCTCTCGTCGGCGATCGGGCGCTGTCCTCGTGCCCGGCCGCTGCGAGGGGACGACCTCCTTGTCGCCTGCGAGGCGTCGGAGAAGCGAGCCTTGCTCGGTCTCCGGCGAATCGCGGGTGGTGAGGTGAAGGTGTGGGCTCCGCCCCACCTAAACCAAAGCCAGGGATCGATATATGCCCCATCCCTGCAACATCTTCCCTTGTCCGACCTTG